AGCGAGTTAGTGGTTAGTTTAATTTGTAACGTATATAAATGTATGTAGAAAAGAGAAAATGTTGGTCAGATAGCGACTGTTCCATATCACTGCCTGGAGAACAAATTTGTCTTTTCCCCCGCACGAAAGTTAAGATAAAATAAAATGAAAACATTCGATATAGGATGGCCGGTAATAAGGTCACAGCGGAAAAAAGTCAGAAAAAAAAAAACACAATTGTGGAAAAAAAAAAAAAAAAAAAAAAACGACAATGTCTTGTTTTTTTCGAGCGACATGTATAAAAATATTCGAACGAAAAAAAATGACCCCAGAATGACGTCAGAATCCGCGAAGATTTTTCATCCTCTAATAACAGTGAGTTGTGTTTAGTTTAACTTGTAACGTATATACATAAATATAGGTAGAAAAAAAAAAAAAGCAATATTAATCAGATAGCGACAGTCACAAATCACTGACCGGACACCAAATTTGTCTTTTCCCGCGCCCGAAAGTTAATAAAATGAAAACATTCGATATAAGATGGCCGGTAATAAAGTCACAGGGGGAAAAAGTCAGAAAAAAATCACAGTTTTGGCTGGAAAAACCAAAAAAAAACAAAAAAAAAAAAAAACCTACATTCAAAAAATTGTTTTTTTCCGAGCGACATGTATAAAAATATTTGGACGAAAAGAAAAAAAGACCCCATTTTGACGTCAAAATCTGCGAAAAGTGTTCATCAGCGAGTTGTGGTTAGTTTAATTTGTGACGTATATAAATGTAGACAGACAAAAAAGGAAATGTTTATAAGATAGCGAGGCTCACAAAGCACTACCTGGGGCCCCCATTCAATATTTAAGTTGATAAAAAAATAAAATAAGAAATATTCGATGTAGGATGATTCGTGGCCGGTAATAAAGTCACAGAAAAAAAAGACAGAAAAAAAAGTCACAATTTTGGCTGGGAGAAAAAAGCTACATTAAATTGTTTTTTGTTTTTTTGTTGTTGTTGTTGCGAGCGACATATATAAAAATATTCGGATTGAAAAAAAAAAAAAAAAAAAAAAAAAAAAGAGCCTAAAATTAAATCCAAATCCGCGAAGATTTTACTTCTTAGACAGAATAATGGAGTAATGGATAGCGGTTCGGATTGATGAATCGGAGATCCGAGTTCGAATTCCAGTCGAATCCATTACCCTTAGGGAAGGTAAGAATCCCCTTTTTCTCTAAGCTATGGGTAAGTAGCAGGACAGACTAGGTTCTGTGGCCTTGGATGGCAAGAAAGAAATGGCAACCTGTCCCGTCAGTCATGTATCACGAGGGTAAATTGCAACTCTTCCAGTGGCCTAGTCAGAGTTTTGACCTTAACCCAATTGAAAACCTTTGGGCGGTAATGGACAAACGTGTCCGTAATATGAAAGTTAACACAGAAGATGATATTTTTCGGGAATTAGAGAAATGCTGGAAAAATCTGGCGTAGAACGTTAACATAATAAAGAATTTAGTCTATAGTATGCCACGAAGAATTAAGGCGGTTATTAAAGCAAAATGTTACCCAACAAAATACTGAATCTTTTTTTTTTGACTTGCATAATGTACACCTTTATCTAATCCCTGTATTAAAAAACGAATTCTGTTACACACTTGTTTTACGGTTATATACCGCACCTATGAACACTAATGGGTATGTCCCAATCCTCATAAATACGTTGGACACTATTGTAAGGGGTGGGAGTAATATGATGTCTAAGTAGCCCGCCACGAGCAGTGGTTTACCTACTTCACGTCGCTGGCGAGTATTGTATTTTGTTGATGTTATAAAGATTACCATGTCATTTACAACCTCCGTTTTGGTTATTACTCATCCAGTAACCTTTTCTAGGTTACATATGCAAAAATCGACTTTCTATGGTTGCCTCCATTTTTTTTTTGACTCGTACTATATATATATATATATATATATATATATATATATAAAATGAATATATATATATATAGGCGATAGTCTGTTATATGCTATATGCAATCGCCAGACCACATATGCTGTTATTTTTTCTCATTTATATATATACGGGTTAGCGACATTGTGGGTATTCTATTATGGCGGTTATTTTTTACCGGAAATCGCTTTGTTTATTTATTTGAGTCAAATTATATTGCTCGTTTTATTTTTTGTTTCTTATTTTTTTATTTATTTATTTATTAATAGTAAAAAATTTGTTTATATCATGTATTTAACAGTTTTGTTTTGGTTTGAGAATTTAATTAAAGCTATTTGTTCAATTTTGGGGTTGGTTATTCTAGTTCATTTACTATTATTTTTTGGCAATTTTTAATTTGGGATTGGTTTGTCTATTTATTTCTTGGATTTGTCAATTTATTTTTATTTTTCTTTTCGGTTTTTAAGCAACATAGTATTTATTTATTTATTTTATTTTATTTTTTTATTAGTGTATTTGTTTGTTTTATTTTATTTTTTTTTTTTCATTTTTTAGGTTACGTTTTAAAATTTATTTTCATTGCATTTGAGATTAAGCTCGGATCTTTTATTTAATAATTTATTTTTTATCCAAGCAAAGTTTGCAAGTTTTTTATTTAGGCTGATGACTTTTTTATCTTCCAAGATATTTTTGTGATGATGTGCGTTTTTTTTTATTTGAGAATATACTTAGAAAGCATATTTGTTTCATATTTACTATTTGTGAACGATTTTTTTTGGTTCAGGGTCCTTCAGTTAGTTCTATTATAACTTTTCTTCATTATCTTATTTTTTTGGCTTGGTATAACGTTGTTTTTAAACAATTTCCGGGACATTCGTTTTTTTTTGGTTTGTGGGTTTAATTTTACTTGGTTTGTTGAATTTTCAGCCATGCTCTCGGTGCAGCTGTAGCTGATTTTTACTGTGTTTTTGTGAATATTTTAAGGTCTTGATTCTGGGAAGTGTTTTTAAGAGTTTGAAGAATATTTTTCCTACGTTTGTTTTTACGTTATTTATTTGAACCATTTATTTTCTCCTGTTTCTTTTTGTATTCTGTGGTGAGTATTGAGTATTTGGGAATCCGCTATCTTTTAGGGCCGTTTTTAGTCTTTTTAGCTTTTTCATTGGAGGTTCGGAGAGCCTGCGGTTAATCGATTTTGGTATCTGTTTGATTATAGGCGGATGGTTAGTATGTAGAGTGGTTTATCGTTAGGTTTTCTGTATGGTTTTTCATGCCTTCTCTTATTTTGAAGGTAACATCTAGGAAATCTATTTCGTTTAGGTTAGTTTTTATTTAATCCGTTATTTTAAAATCTTTATTTTATTTTGGTCTGTGTTTTGTTTGTTACAGTTTCTTAAGATTATGAGACCGTCGATAGTCCTGTGTCATTTTTATCTATTATTTTGCTCAGTTCGTGTAGTAGTAAATATTTTGCCTCCTCAAAGCTTCCCATTGAGTAAAATCACCAGATAATGAAGAAAAAAATACATAGAGAGTAAGAAGGGAAGCAAAGAAATTATACACACAAAAATCGTTCACAAATAGAGCGAACAGTACTATGCTTTCTAAGTATATCTGGGAAATAAAAAAAACGCACATCAACAAAAATATCTTTTTATTTACAAAAAATTGCAAATTTTTGAGGAAAAAATAGCTATCCGACCAAAAATAAAATAAATAAAAAAAGCTCATCTCAAAATGCAGGCATGAAAATAAATTTTCTACGTAACCTAAAAAATGAAAAAAAAAAATAAAATAAAAACAAACAAATACACTAATAAAAAAATAAAAAAAAAATAAATAAATAAAATACTATTTGTAAAAACCGAAAAGAAAAAATACAAAGGACCTGAATTCATCCAAGTAAATAAATAGACAAACCAATCCCAAATTAAAAACTGTTCCCAAAAAAAATAAAGATAGAATGAATACAACAACCAACCCCAAAATTGAACAAATAGAATTAAATCAAACCAAAACAAAACTGTTAAATACGTGATATAAACAAATTTTACTACGTTAATAATTAAATAAATAAAATAAGAAACAAAAAAATAAAAACGAGCAATATAAGACCCAAATAAATAAACAAAGCGACTTCTGTAAAAATAACCGCCATAATAGAATACCCACAATTAAGTATATTATATAAATAGCCGAGAAAAATAATATTGACGATTGATATGAAACAAAGCCTCTAAGTGTTGACTTTATGTTCACTTTTATATTTTGCTCTAGATAGACTTTATCCCATAAATATAGATATATATATATATATATATATATATATATATATATATATATATAGATAAATGAAACGGATAAACAGATGACTGAGATCCATATATATAGATAGATAGATAGTTAAATAGATATTAATATATAAAATAGATAAGATACGTTGATTAGAAACCTGAAGGAAAATGAAAGAAGACAGGTTGTGCAAAAATATTTTTAAAATATATGTGTGTTTTGTGTCCTTGTGTGTGTAGGGCAAAAATTTTGGCTGACAATAAAATGGTTCATTATGGGTAGAAGATCTATTATACTAATGGTTACTGAGTGAGCGGTAACAGTTATGTTTCAAATTATTCTAAGGGCTATTCAGTAGACATAATTGTTGAAATTATTTATTTTGTTTAAAATATTGTTCTTGATTGGTATTAATGTTTAAAGTTTGTTAATACCCAAAAAAAAAAAAAAAAAATAAAATAAAATAAATAAATAAATAAAAATAAAATAAAATAAAATTGAAAAAAAAGAAACACAAATACATTGAAAGAATGCTTTTAGAAAATAGTGTTAATATCAGTGTGCATTTAAAGAATGATCTCTGATATTGGCACTTTGACCCATAAAATAGCATCTAAACTATATATATATATATATATATATATATAGAGAGAGAGAGAGAGAAAAAAAAAGATAAGAGAGAGAAAATGAAAAAAAGAGAAAAATGCAAAAAAGAAAGACGATGCAATTTTTAGAAATTTTGAGGAAAAAATATTTTCAGCCAGGAAAAAAAAAAGTATATAAAAATAATGCATCACAGTGTGGGAGGGATTAGAAAAAAAAGAAAAGAAATAGATACATGATAGAAAAGAAAGTTAGATTTAAAGAAAAGATAGATAGATGAAAAAATGAAAAATAAGACCCTATGGAAAAAGATAGATAGATAGAAAAAAATAGATAGATAGATGAAGAAAGAACATCTGGAAAAAAGGAAAAAGTTTAGAAAAAAAGAAAGAAAGAAAGAAAAAAGAAAAAGAAAGCTAGCAAAAGAAAAAGAAAGAAAAGAAAGAAAGAAAGAAAGAAAAGATTTTTGAAAAAAAAGAAAGAGATAAAGAAAATGAATGGCTGAAAAAATCTACCTACGAAAAATGAAAAGTCTCGTAAAAAAAAATGAAAAATGAAAGAAAGGAAGAAATACAGAAAAACTAGAAAAGAAAAGAAAAAACAAAAGAAAAAGAAAAAAAAAAATGAAAAATAAACCCTATGGTAAAAAAATCTAGTGAAGAAAGAAAAAAGAAAGAAGAAAGTTTGCTGAAAAATGGAAAGAAAGAAAGAAAAGAAAATTTTTGAAAAAAAATCTATAAAAAAAGCTAGAAAAAAAAAAAAGAAAAAGAAAAACTAGAAAGAAAAAAAAAAAAAAAATTAGAAAAAAAAAGTCTGAAAAAGAAAGGAAAAGGGAAAAAATGGAAAAAAAAAAAAAATGAAAAAATTGAAAAAGAAAAAAAAAAAAAAAAAGAAAAAAAAAAAAGAAGAAAAAAAAATCTAGTAAAAAGAAAATGAAAAAAAAAGAAAAAAGAAAAGAAAGAGGAGCTAGAAAAAAAAGTTAAAGTCTCTTAAAAAGTAAGAAAGAAGGAATTCTTGAAAAAAGAAATCTAGTAAAATGAAAAAAGAAAAGCTAGAAAAAAAGAGGAAAAAAAAGTCTATTAAAAATTACGTAAAGAAAGAGGGAAAAAGAAAAAGAAAGAAAGAAAAAGAAAGAAAGAGGAGCTAGAAAAAAAAGTTAAAGTCTCTTAAAAGTAAGAAAGAAGGAATTCTTGAAAAAAGAAATCTAGTAAAATGAAGAAAGAAAAGCTAGAAAAAAAGAGGGAAAAAGTCTATTAAAAATTACGTAAAGAAAGAAAGAAAGAAAGAAAGAAAGAAAGAAAGAGGAGCTAGAAAAAAAAGTTAAAGTCTCTTAAAAGTAAGAAAGAAGGAAATCTTGAAAAAAGAAATCTAGTAAAATGAAGAAAGAAAAGCTAGAAAAAAAGAGGGAAAAAGTCTATTAAAAATTACGTAAAGAAAGAAAGAAAGAAAAAAAAAGAAAAGAAAGAAAAAGAGCTAAGAAAGAAGAAATCTTGAAAAAAAAATCTAGTAAAAAAGAAAAAAAAGAAAAAGAGGAAAAAGTCTATTAAAAAACGTAAAAAAAAAGAAAAAAGAAAAGAAAGAAAGAGCTAGAAAAAAAAAAGTTAAAGTCTCTTAAAAGTAAAAAAGAAGGAAATCTTGAAAAAAGAAATCTAGTAAAATGAAGAAAGAAAAGCTAGAAAAAAAGAGGGAAAAAGTCTATTAAAAACTACGGAAAGAAAGAAAGAAAGAAAGAAAGAAAGAAAGAAAGAAAGAAAGAAAATGGTCCTGGAAAAAAATCACTGAAAACGTATAAATAGAAAGAGGAAAACATTAACAATAACAATAAAAAAAAAAAAGAAAAAAAAAACAACTGATATCTGGAAATTCTGACCATTTTAAAATGATATGGAATCGAGAATGTGGCACCTGCCATTGGTAAATGTCTATTAAAACTAATCCACATTGTTCCGTTGTTTCAAGCTCTTCAGGCAGACACCCTGACAGATGAAAAGAAATCAAATGCAGACACTTTGGACAAAAAGGAATGCACACAAGAAACAAATAAAGACTTCAGAACAATCAAGATCTTTCTCTGTTACCCGGTATTAGTTTCCTTCGACGATAAGAATGTCTACGGTTATTGGTATTATGTTTTTCTTCTTCTTATTATTATTATTATTCACCTTCCCCGTCTTCTTCTTCTCCTCCTCCTCCTCTTCCTCCTTCTTTTTCTTCTCCTCCTCCACCTTCTTTTTCTCCTCTTCCTGCAACTTCTTCTTCTGCACCTCCTTCTTCTTCCTCGTCTTCCTTTCAACCTCACCCACCTTCTCCTCCACCTTTTTTTCTCATCCTCCTTCTTCTTCTACACCTCCTTCTCCTCTTCCTTCTTTCTCATTCCTCTTCCTTTCCTCTCTTTCTTCCCCTCCCCGTCTGTTCCCTTCCTCTTCAACTCCTTCCTCGTCTTCTTTTCAATATCACCCACCTTCTCCTCCACCTTTTCCCCTCCTTCTTCTTCTCCACCTCCTCCTCCTTTCTCATTCCTCTTCCTTCTTCTTCCTTTCCTCTTTCTTCCCCTCCCCTCTTTCTTCTTCCTTTCCCTTCTTCTTCTCATTATTATTATTATTATTATTATTATTAAACAGGAAACGAGAGATAAACCGATGTTCCAGTTCAAAAGATCTCTTCCTCGTGTTCCAAGGTACCATCGGGTCATTACCTGGGATAAGGTGATGTAGTAAATTGTAAATATATCCATTCTGATTGCATAAAACTCTAGCATCAAGTGTACAGTATTTATATTTTATTTACGCTGGTAATACTCACCTGAGTGGATGAGCAAATCCAGACTATGAACTTTTTTTAATCTCTTGTAAAATGAGACGTCAATATGCGACTAATTTCACGTTATAAAAATTTCGAGAACATCTTTTACTCACTTTCGCTTATTATACATTAAATTATCTCCCTTAGCATCCTCCATAACTTTCCAAGACTTTTATTGCTGATAAATAATTATGAGCAATTTTTAATTTGAAAACTTTGAAAAACGTAATATTTATGCCCTTGTCTATAAATACCTGTTATAAAATAAAATCCTTGTATTTCGTTTGATAAAGTCTCTCATATTATGTAACGGATCAGCTAAGTTTTCCTTTTGTCTTTAACATATATATATATATATATATATATATAGTTCTAGAAAATGATCGCGAAGTTTCAAAATCCGTACCGAGTATGTGTTGTAACCTAGGAAGGATTACTGAATGAGGAACAACCAAAACGGAGGTTGGAAATGACATGGTAATCTTTATAACATCAACAAAATACAATACTCGCCAGCGGCGTGAAGTAGGTAAACCACCGGTAGAGGTGAACCACTTAGACAGTATATTTCCCCCACTTACAATAGTGTCCAACATATTTATGAGGATTGGGACATACTCATTAGTGTTCATAAGTACGCTATATAACTGTATGACGATAAACTGGCAGCAATATGTCTAATCGGGAAGTTTAGAGGAGCGTGGAACCATCTCTTAATTGTTGCTGTTTCTAGGTCTACTCTGACCAGGGTGGTAGCACCTGTTAGAGTCTCAGCTATGGGCAAATAGTTAACTGCTAAATTGGGGTCAAAACACGATGAAAGTATAAACATTTTTATAGTTAAAACACCAGCCATATACATTTTCGTAGTAAAAAAAAATTACCAGCAATACATTTTTGTAAAAAGTAAATCTAAAATTACCAGTAATACATATATTTCAGGAAAAAAAATTACTAGCAATACATTATTGCTAAAGAAATTATTAATAATTTCAAGAAAATTAAATTTCGGCATTAAATGACCCATAAGGAGTTGATATGCCGCTAAACAAACAAACAAGTTCGAAAATACTTGAACAAAAATAAAAAAAATATGAACCTCGGACAGTTTATCTACAACCGCGAGCACAATACTCAACAATTTATTCGACAATTGGAAAAATACAATAAAAATTGAAACAGACAGACCTTGTCGGTTCTTTTGTATGAATACTTGCTGTCGAAATATAACTTATAATTATTTACAATTATATAATTTTATATTCATAATTTATTCTATTGGAATCGTAAAATGGAATAAATTCTGACCGTGGAATATTAGTGTTTAAGCCGTTTTATTATTTTTTATTATTATTATTATTATTATATATATATATATATATATATATATATATATATATATATATATATATATACCTGGTGTAACAGCAAAATTATTCATTTGTTAGATTAAGCCCTGAACCGTTATATCTTAGAAATCGTTCTTGCGAAATAAAAATATTACCGTGGTTTTTAAAGTCTCCGCCTTCATCATCATTATATATATATATATATATATATATATATATATATATATATATATATAGGATTAATACAAATATAAATTTGTCACTTAGATGACTTATATTTACTCTAAACATATATATATATATATATATATATATATATATATATATATATATATAAAATTTATTCGAAAATTCTAACATAAATATTTTATAAAATCACGATGTTATAATTTTCTAATAAATTATATTTGCTTTACTCTGTATTGAGCACTCTGTTAAGAATAGTAGTTTTAGGTTATTGGAATTTATTCCGTATACACCAATCCTAAACTTGGATATATATATATATATATATATATATATATATATATATTATATATATATATAAAGTTTATGAAAAACTAGGTAATCAGTATGGGTAAACCTAAGGAGGATAAAATCCAGAGAAGCTCAATGTAAATCCAGAGCAAATAATTTAAATAAAAACAGACCACTTTAAGGTTCCATGTAATAAATTATATACGTATATATATATAAAATTAATTAACACTATTTTTTTAAATCTCATTCTTTTTGTGCGGCCTGTTTTTCAGTAACTCTTAAACATGACTATTTCAAGCTAGACTATTTCTACTTCTAGCTTTTCAAAGACTACCAAAGGAATTAAATCTACCATACAGAAACCACATTGGCTCTTGAAAATGACTGCGATATTTGAAAGTACTTATAAAAATAACAAACTTTGAGCCTCGGAGAGTTTATCTACAATTGCAAGCAAAATACTCAACACCTTATCTGAAAATTGGAAAAAAAAAAACCAATAAAAAGTGAAACAGACAGATTTTGTTGTTTAATATTTTGATGAGTACTTGTTGCTTAAATACAGTGTGAGCCAAAAGTAGGCTTACGCTCGTTTTACTATTTGTTTCACGTTTCCACCTCTGAAACGGAGCTAACTTCAGCGAACTGCTCTTTCAGGAAGATGGAGCATCTCCCCATTATGCTTTAGCAGTAAGGGACGACCTTAACGAGTCCTTTCCACTGCGTTGGTTCGGAAGAATGGACAGCAACGAATGGCTACCATGTTCACTTGACCTAACACCAATGGGTTTTTTTTTGGTGGGGGATAGTACTGAGCTGCTTACGTGACATCTGTCCTTCTTTATGGCAGCGAATGTTGGACGATTTCCTCAAAGATGAAGAAGAGACTCGAGGCGACGGAGATGTGGGTCTACAGAAGGATGCTAAGGATATAATAATAATAATAATAATAATAATAATAATATCATAATAATAATAAAAATAACAAAGAAAAGAATACTGAGCTGTTACATGACATCTGTCCTCCTTTACGGCAGAGAATGTTGGACGATTTCATTAAAGATGAAGAAGAGACTCGAGGCGACGGAGATGTGGGTCTACAGAAGGATGCTAAGGATATAATAATAATAATAATAATAATAATAATAAAAATAACAAAGAAAAGAATACTGAGCTGTTACATGACATCTGTCCTCCTTTATGGCAGCGAATGTTGGTCGGTCTCCTCAAAAATGAAGAAGAGACTCGAGACAACGGAGGTATGGTTCTACAGAAGGATGCTGAGTTTTTCCATGTGAAAGTGGGCGATGACTCCAAAAAGGTTGGGAACCCTAGACGGTGTTACAAAAAGTTAAAAAAAAAAAAGAGATCCACGATTGTCCACGTTCTGAAGGGACACGGCATATATAAAATAAAACAAAGCTTTTGTTTAGCCTAGGTCAAGGTCCTAATCAGAGGAGGTAGGTACTGAGAACATGACAGAACTCGCTTTGGTAGAAATGATCTAGGAGAGAGCTTTACTAATTGTGACTCTGTAATGAGATGTGCAAATTCAACTGGTATTCAAACTAATCCCTTCCAGATAAAGAACTGATCACGTGACCTTTTTAAATGTAAGCAGATTCCAGTACTATAATTAACTCTTAAGCTTTCATCACATTTTTTTACTACACCATGAAGTCAGTAGGACAGCAAGTACGACGCTGAGATCCGAAGACGTATTGGGATGACCAAAGACACATTCCAAAAGCTAGACAGAGTATTACGAGACAGCAGGATTTCTTTGGTAACAAAGAAAAGAATATGGAACTGCCATCCGTTCTCCTTTACGGCAGCGAATGTTGGACGGTCTTCTCAAAGACGAAGAAGAGACTCGAGGCAACAGAGGTATGGTTCTACAGAAGGATGCTAAGGATATCATGGACCGAGCCTGTGAGCAACGTTAAGGTTATGGAGAGGATGGTATTTATCAATTCACCCACAGGAATTGAATGTGGCACAAGGCCTTTTTAATGTGGGTATGTCTGAGCCCGTAGGCCCAGCCAAAAATAAAACCCATCTAAACCCGTCCAAGCGGGCTAGTTCCGTCAACCTCCCCGAACGAAACACCACCCTTCGGCGGAGCTTCGTCAGGGTTCCTCTCTGCAAGCAGAGAGTTCGACAGACACCCGACCCGGCAGCTCACAAAGCGCAGATACTACACTTTGATCCTAGCCACCGGGCCGAGCGGGTATTCTTTTTA